TATTTGATTTCTGGAGGATGCTAAACAGGTTCCAGGGTTCAATATTAGGCTTTGCAATATGTCATAATATTATACGCAGTCCAACCAAGTTGACCGAAGTCATGAAGGAAAAATAAACCATGATTTCATGTTTTGTGTGGAATGTATTATGTATATGGTAAATATCAATTAGAATTAGAATATGAATGGCAGGGTCCACATTGGCTTATAGTTTTAGACTGCACTGCAACCATCTGATTTTTTTTCGTTTCATGTTCCTGTTTTAAATATTGTTCATGAGTGGTCTAATCAAGGGTATCACAGTTCACCTTTTTTTTTTTTACCGCAATATTGACCATAATACTTCACCTATTATAAAATGATTTATTGATTTTTAAAGTTTGAAATCACTTAAGGTAGAACTACTGGCGTGGTATATTAACAAAAGGTTGAAAATAATATGTACATAATTTTAAATTTAAATTTTGTTATTACTGCAATTTTGGCCATTAAAAAATATCTTTTAAGTAAAAGGAACTGAATAAAAAATCATTAATGTTACATATGCGTGCTTAAGTCGATCAATTTACAGATATGTGTACTTAAAGAGAGGTAGGAATGATGAAAGATGTTTCGCTGTAATGATCAAAAGAATTATTCCTAGTTTTATGTTTTAAAAGGTCTTACTTAAGGAGTTTGTATAATGCGGGTTCATTATATACATGATAATTGACAACTAGCATACAACTCAAAAATAATTTAAAATATTTATATAAAAACATAAAGTCATTTAATGCTATAGTTTCTAAGACTAAATTAAACCATTTAATAAGATATATTTAATGCTTTTATATTATATGCTTTATGACAACACAGTAAAAAAACTCCGGATAGCTTTTATAGCATAATAGAATATTCCTAATAAGTTTTATAACGTTTTTCTGAGTTACAGACTTATGGTGTGAAAGCATGCAATATATTGTATTAAATATTTTAAATAAAATTAAAAAATTATTATTGAATGACCTATTATATTTTTTTAATAAAATAAATATTTTTAATAATAAAAAGTCTTTTCTGTCAAAAAAAATATTGTTCATTAATTGACGCAATAAAAAATCTTGTTTTATTAAATGCATTAATTACTTTAAATATAAAATCATAAATTTTCTAAATTTCTATATTTTAATTCTTTTGATCATTATTTATTTTTTTATATCTGGTGTCAAGTATCACGAGAACAGTCGAGAGGTTGAATATAATAAACTCCTATACAAGTGTATGATTCACAACTAAACTTAAAATTAATTTCTTATTGTTATTTAGTAAATTTGGCTCTATTGTTTTTTTTTAATAAATTTAATCCATATATTATTTTAATTGTATAAATGATATGTATCAAATTGAGTCAGTAAAATTACTTTTTAAATTAATATAAATTTTACCAATCTAATTGATAAATTATGTGATATTATATTTATAATTATATATATATATATATCAAATTTTATATAATTTAAAATTTTCTAATTATATTATCTTATAGTATATATTTATATATTTTTTAAATATTATATTATATATTAAAATAAAGTAATATAATATATTATTAGACAATTTTTTAATTGTATAAAATTTTTATAATTCATCTAATCAATAAGAAAATCAAATACAAAATTTTAATTGATTAAATTTATTTTCTATAAAAAAAAAATTATTGAAAATATAATTATACTAATTTTAACATATTTAGTGTCAACAAATTTTGAACCTTCTACATCGAGGTAGACAAAAGTTGGAAGAAGAAAAAAAAACCACTGTACGGGCTTACATATTAAAATTTTTGAAGAAGTGTAAATTATCAACTAAATTTCTGATACTGTAATAATTGGTCAAATTGATTTTTAAAATTAATAAAAATATTTTTTGAAATTATAAACTACTAATTAATTTAATTCTTGAAACCGTAATGAGCAATAAAATTTTCGATGAAATAAATCTCTAAAACTACAAACTTATCAATCAATATAATTTTTAAAATTATAATAATAGTCAATAAAATTAATCTTCAAAATTAAAATGACTTGTTAACAACTTTTTTACCTTTGAACTTTCAAAGTTATTTTCTCATGCATTTTGAACCTGACATTTTCTTTTTGAAAATGGCGAAAGTGGTGGAGCTTGAATTTCAACCCTCATCCATTCTTTCTCTTTCCTTCGCTTTTGCCACCAAAGTCACTAAATAATTTAACTTTTTAGTTTATCTACATATCATTATTGGATTGATATGAATGATTATTAAAAATTATAAAAATAAATATGTTTGTCAATATTTTTATTTTAATTTTACAACTTTATTTATTTAAACATATAAAGATTTATTCTTTTGTAAATTATTAATACATGTTCCATCCTTTTATTAGTAGAGTAAATTTTTCATAAATAAAAAAATTTAATAAATAAATTTATATAATTTAATAAATAAATTTGTATAATTAATAAACTTGTATATTTGAAATAATATAATAATAAAAGCTATAATTTAAATTTTAAATTTTTTTTAATACATTGAATATAAAGACGGGTGAAGTCTCTGATAGTGAAGTTTAGTAAGTGGTCCATGATTGTGGTGCACGCAAACACATCGTACAACATCCTTCTAGGCCGACCCTCGATCAATGCACTAGGAGCCATCGTCTCGACCCCCCACCTGTGCATGAAGTTCCCTTCGAGAGATGGACAAGTGATAACCATGCATGCCGACCAGAAAACGGCAAGAGAGTGCTATCTCTCCAGCCTTAAAGTGCAACCACTGGCCGACCCCCCGAAGACGAAAGGTGTGAATGTAGTAAGGCAGCAGACGACTGAAGACATTGACCTCGATCCTCGGTTAGGTGAAGAAGAACGAATCGAGCCCGCCGAGGACCTCATGCCTTTTCAACTCGGCAGAACACCCGAGCAAGTAACAAACATGGGATCCCAGCTGAGCGAGATCGACTCAAACCGAGTCAAGCGTGTAGTCAGGGACAACCGAGACCTCTTCGCGTGGACGACATCAGACATGCCAGGAATAGATCCCAAATTCCTGTGCCACCGACTGGCCGTATGCCAAGACGCACGACCGGTCGCACAAAAGAAAAGAAAAATGGGGGACGAGAAGCGAAAGGCCGCAAATACTGAGATAAAAAAATTACTACAGGCTAAATTCATAAGGGAGGTTACGTACACGACTTGGCTAGCTAACGTGGTTCTGGTCAAAAAAGCAAACGAAAAGTGGAGAATGTGTACCGACTACACCGACCTCAACAAAGCTTGCCCCAAGGAAGCCTATCCATTACCCTGCATTGACCGACTTGTTGACGGGGCATCCGGACACTCCATCTTCAGTTTCCTCGACACCTATTCCGGCTACAACCAGATAAGGATGCACCTGGCTGACGAAGAGAAGACGACATTCATCACCGACAACGCCAACTTTTGTTACCGAGTCATGCCGTTCGGACTGAAGAATGTTGGGGCGACCTACCAGAGGTTAATGGACAAAGTGTTTCAAGGTTAAATCGGCTGAAACATTGAGATTTATGTGGACGATATGGTGGTCAAGTCCGATTCCCTGGCCGCTCACGTAGCTGACCTAGCCGAAATCTTCCGTGAACTACTTCATCTTGACTCAGGTCTAGTGGGACGACGGAAAGTCTTTAAAATGTCTTTCAGAAATATCAAATAAGTATTCAAAATGGTACGCAACAATTATGCTAGTTTTAAGTTATTAATATGAAAAGAAATTATAAATAACGGTGCTATACCGTATGGGACCGAGGCCGACCCGACCGACCCGACCGAATACCAGAACTCAACACAGACCGAAACCAATACCCGAACACACCGAACACTCGCCAAACAGAAGGGGTCGGTTTGCTCGGCCGATCCCCAGAACTCCACCAGTATGATTACGAAGGGATTAATTTAAGGAATAAGCCGGATTAACCCCCTAATTTTTCGGGGCCCAGCTCCTAATCATGGCCCAATAAGAAACACTATAAATAGACCACCTTCGAGGTATGTAAAAAACTTTCAACTACTGCATTTATTACGCCGAACACTTACTTGAGCATTGGAGTGTCTTTGCAGGCACACCCTCCCTCACATCGGACTACCCGGATAGGAACGAGAAGACCGAGACCCAGGATTAGACCCCCTACAACAAGGATAAGTGAAGTGTATATCCTAACACAGGAACACGCAAAGGACAATCAACAACGACTCAACCGATACCTAACCCCGAGAACAATCCCGCCATGAATAACCAGGAACGTTTTCCATACGGAATGCCTCAGACTCAATCGGATCCTGTGATACAAGAGGTCCAGCCGAACGTTAATCAAGCTCAGCCCGACCTCCAAGATGACTTGCGCGCATTGCGCGAAGAAATGGCGCCTATATGAAGACAAAGAGAAGTCGATGCCAAGGAGCTGGCGGAGTTGCGTCGACAAAATGTCGAGCTCCGAAATCAGAACCAGACCTATGTGCCGACCACTCCTACACTCATTAAGGAGTCAGCCTATCACGCTCCGACCGATCAGATCACCCGAACACCCGCCACCTCTCTGATAGGCAACAAGGCCGACTCCAACACGCATTCACTAAGTCATCCCTTCTCCCGAAGGATAATGGAAGTTACCTTATTAGACCACTGGAAAAGCTTGCCGATCGAGAAGTATGATGGGTCCACCGACCCCGAGGAGCACTTGAATGTTTTCCTAACACAAGCAACCCTCTCTACTTAAGACGACTCGGCCTTGTGCCGAATATTCCCCACGTCACTGAAAGGAAGGGCCTTGAGTTGGTTCACGAGGTTGCCGAGCTCCTCTATCGACTCGTTCAACAAGTTGTCATCCCAATTCGCCCTCCAGTTCGCGACGAGTAAACCATACAAGACGACCTCGTTAGCCTTAGCGGGGGTTCGTCAAGAGAAGAAAGAAAGTTTGAGAAGTTTCATGGACCGATTCAACAAAGTCGCCATGGAGATCGGTGACCTTAACCCGGCCGTGGTGATGGACCGGCTGAGCACTGCCCTCAGGCCGGGGCCATTTGTGAATAGCTTGTGCAAAAAGCCTCCTGTTGATATGATTGATCTCCGACGCCGAGCTGAAAAATATATGCAAATGGAGGAGCTGGCGGAGACCCGAAATCAAGCCAGGGCCGAGGAGGGCCATAGCCGAAAAGAATCTGGCCGAGAGCCAATGAGAAAGCCTAATGCCGACCCCTCGAGCACTCGTCTCCCAAGGGGCCCACGTTATACAACGTATACTCCCCTCAATGCGAGTAGAGCCAAAGTAATGGAACAGGCCCTTGCATCAGAGATCCTCGTGATGCCAAAAAGGGCGAACACGCCCTCTAGAGCCGACAAGGCCAAGACGTGCCGATTCCACCGAAACAGGGGGCACTCAACAGAAGAATGTTCAGCACTAAAAGACAAGCTTGAGGACCTTATCAAACAGGGTCACCTCGCGAGCTTCGTCACCTCTCAAAACCACCAGTCAAAGGGAGGTGACTACCACTCTCGGGAAGCTCCACTGCCGAGGGATCGGCACCGCCGATCCCGGCCGGCCGAAAGGAGAGACCACTCGCGGCACTCCCGAGAAGGCAATGACCGACCAAGGAAGGTAATAAACACCATAGCCGGAGGCTTCGCCGGGGGAGGTTCCACATCTTTCGCGCGAAAGAGACACCTCCACGCCGTACGATCAGTGAACAGTGTAAACCAGCCGAAAATGCCGAGAATGCCTTCTATAACTTTCTTCGACCGAGACTTCCGTGGCGTCGACCCCATCCTAGACGACCCCATGGTGATTTCAGTCGAAATGCACAACTGCATTGTGAAGAAAACATTGGTCGATCAAGGGAGCTCGGCCGACATCTTGTACTGGAATACGTTTGTACAGCTCGGGATCCCGGAGGAGAGCCTAGAACCATACCACGAACCACTGGTAGGCTTATCAGGCGAAAGAGTGATGACGAGGGGATGTATTGACCTATACACCCGTTTCGGCTTCGATCAAAAGTATTCCAAAGAGATTAAAATCCGTTACATTGTGGTGCACGCAAACACATCGTACAACATCCTTCTAGGCCGACCCTCGATCAATGCACTAGGAGCCATCGTCTCGACCCCCCACCTGTGCATGAAGTTCCCTTCGAGAGATGGACAAGTGATAACCATGCATGCCGACCAGAAAACGGCAAGAGAGTGCTATCTCTCCAGCCTTAAAGTGCAACCACGAGAGATTAAATAACTCTACCAGTAGCTTTTGATAAATCTACTTTACTTAATAACTCATGATTTATGTTAAATTTTAATGATCAAAATATTAAATTAAGATTTTTAATGTATAAATTGTGTCTATAAATTTTTTAAAATTTTGAAAACTATTTGCTGCTTTATTTTATTAGTTCAAATTGACAAATAATCATAAAAAATATTTTATACATTGATTTGAATCTATATATATAATAAAATATCATATGTTTTTAATTTTTGTAAAATTTTGTATACTTAGTATATACATTAAGAAAAAATAATTTAATGGTTGGATCATTAAAGTTCAACATACACTATGAGCTAATGAGTGAAATAACTTTACAACTCTTTGAGTCATTTGATCTCTCCTTATATAATGTGTGTGTGAAAGAGAGGAGAAATCATCTTACTCTAAGAATAACTCTATTTAGACTTATTTCACTCAATAATTCTTATTCTATATCAAGTAATACATAGATCAAGACTGCAAATTTTTAAAAATTTTAAAAATTATTTGATACTCCATTATTTTAATTCAAATTCATGGATAATCATAATAAATATTTTATATATTGATTTAAATTAATAAAATTTAGAATCGAACAACCAACCAAAAATACTTGGTGGTTTTAGTTATTTCGAGAAGGATGGAATCATGATTTTTTAAACTTTTTTTTTTTTACTATTTTCTAAATACTTAATTACTAAATTTGTAAAATTATATAAGTTTAGAGTTAAAATGTGCAAAAGAAAAAAATTGGGATGAATTTTGCAAAATTTAAAATTTAAGAGGAAAAAAACTGTAATTAACCTTTTTAAAATTTTATTTAGGCATAAATGTGTTTTTTATCTTTCAAATATTGTAGTTATACGATTTTAGTCTTTCAAATTTAAATCAAACAATTTTTATCTTTTAAGTAATACAATTGTACAATTTTTCTTTCTCAATTTTCAATTGAATATTTTTAATGTCTAAAGTACCACAATTATGTAATTTAATTTTTCGTATTAAAAATTTAAGAATTTTTCTTGATGAAATTCTAAAAAGTAATATGATGTACCGATATTTCTAATTATTTTTTAATATATTTATATTTTTATAAAAGTATATTAATATATACTATTCATATATTTATGAAATTATTTATTTATCTATCTATATATATATATATATATAATTTATAAATGAATTTGACCGTTATTACAATTTTAAGAACTAAATCACTCTACATATATAAATCAGAATATTTTTCTTGATGAAGAGTTTTTTTTTTAATAATTATTCAAAACAAAAACATTTTTAGCTGTTTTCTTTTTCAACCAGAACACTTTTAGAAGTTTTCTCAATCGCTCATCTCTTTTAATTTATCTTTTTTATTTTTAATTTTATATAGTATAATTTAAATATTTTTTAAAAATTATCAGAAACTAAAAATTACAATATAATACATTTATTATAAATTTTAATTATATAAAACAAACATTTATTTTAGCAGATTTTTCTTTCCGACCAGAACATTTCTAGAAATTTTCTCAATCTAACATTTCTTTTTAATTTATCTATTTTATTTTTAAGTTTATATAGAATTAATTTTAATTTTTAAAAATATTATCAGTAATTAAAAATTACTATAAAATATGTTTTTATAGATTATAATATATAAAACAAACATTACTTTTTTGTTATATATGCACGAGCTAAAATATTAGTTAATTAATAGTTTACAATTTCAGAAACTATTTGTCATTTTATTTATTTCAAGGATCAATTTAACCATTTATTACAATTTTAGAAACTAAAAAATTAATTGATATTTATGATCTCAAAAACTATTTTATCTTTTTACTAATTTTAGACCGACTTAACTACCTATAGAATTTCAGAAACGAAACCTGTGATTACTCTTTCAGAATCAGAATATTATATATGATGCTAACAAGGGCATGGTGGTGAACTTGCACGATAATCTTCCTCTTAATATATTCATGGCTGCTCAGTTATACCATCGTTGCATATGACATCATGCACACTTTACTGCAAAATGTGTCTGTTCTTACCGGAGATTGGTCGTAGGGGACGATCTGTTGGGTAAGATCGGTAAGCCTCCTTCGCTGGTACGCTTGCTGCTCCAAGATGGGGGTGGTACCTGCAAAAGAGACTCCGATGCTAAAGTTAGTGTTTGTGGGTGTATGAGTCTCGTATAAGTAATGCACGTACCTTTGTGTGTATTGGGATTTTGTTAGGCCTTGGGCCCGAGATCAGTTTATGACCTAATTGGATAGCGAGCCGATGTCGCCTAG